AAAAGATCGAAATCGCGATCCGCGTCTGGCAGTTTCGACAGAATACAGACCACTTCGAATTATTTTATTCGATTATGGTAACGTGCCTATCACGTTGAGGTGAGCTACGCCGGGATTCGTTTCAGCAAGTAGATATCCATATTTTTAAATGGACCTTGTTGGGGCATATGTAATCCTCAAATGTAGCATCATACTACAGATGGCGCTTACCACACTATTTGTAGTATTTTCTAAAACGCGCTGTAAAGGTTGGTCTGTGTTCTGTCAGAGCTGTTTGCGACGCGCTGATGAGATCCAAGAAGATCGAAATCGCGATCCGCGTCTGGCAGTTTCGAGTTTCGACGGAACACAGACCACTTCGAATTATTTTGTTGAATTGTGTAGTTAATAAACAATCTTTGGTCAAAACCAAATTATTATCTATATTTTTGGCAACTAATGTTAGAGTGAAAAGTTATAGATTATGCAATATTTAAGTAAGTTGCAATTCCACAGTTCTTTATAGCCGATCCACCACGATTCTGATTCCAAAAGATTAACTTAGAAGAAAAATAAGAAGACAAAACTATTTTGTTACTAATTTTATATTCCTTATGATAATCAACATTTCTGTGTTTTACGTTAAGTTTTATTTGTTTTAGGTGACTTGGTTATAACGGCAAAACTAAAAATGAAAAAATACCAAAAGAACGAAAAGGAACACCTAAAATTCGAAAAAGATATTTTTGACATTGATATTGGCAAAGCAATTATTCATTTAAATAACATCTTTCCCAATAATCCAGAAATTAGTGAAAATACAAACCTAGTTATCAACGAAAATATGGATCTCTTAATGCAAGATATTAAGCCTATTGCGTTAAAAACAGCAAGAGACATTTTGCTCAACCTTCTCAATCGCGTTTACGAAACATTCTCCTTCGACGAGTTGTGGCCTTTAGAGTAAAATATCTTCCGAGAAAGTACTTAATAAAAACACACATTTCCTTAATAAAATTATAATAAATGAAATAAGTACGTTTTGTGTTTTTTATGATACTACACCCTTTAAGGGTGAGGTCTAGGTTTAAATCCCCCTGGAATTGGGGAATCTCTATCGAAATGGGTCAACCAAGAATATTCAAATAAATTGCCAATTTTCTTCTCTTCAGTTCTTATAAAATAGACTACTTATTATTTTTTAAATTTATGCATATATATGAAAAGTCCTTTCAGAAAGGATAGACTGACTAACTGGTATATCAACCTATACCCCAATATCTCAAACCCCTGACTCCATATTTGAAATTTTTCGAAGGTGTTTAACATTATAAAATTATAAATAAGTTACGCACTAAGAGTTTAAATTGTTAGTTAAGATGAAAATGGTTTCAAGTAGAGTCACTTAGCTTCAAGTACTATCGACTACTGACAAACGTACTGTCCGTGAGCATTTTTTTTTTTTTATTCAATTTTAGCGCGCTTCTACATTTGTTTAAACAATTGCTCTGAAGTGAACTAAAGCACGTTGAACGCAACTAAACTTGTTTACAAATAACCACTGAAATAAATAGACACTTTTATCTTTATAAATGAATTTTATCGTTTTCAAACACTCTAAAATCTACTGGTACTTCCCCAGTTTTAAAGGTGACTCTCTCGTCGTATGTTCGCGTAGTACTGACGTATTGAATATCAACGATTCAATTAAATTTTAATAGTTCGTAGTTATATGTCAAGAGAAGCCAAATGGCTATGATTTTTCATAAGTTTGAAGAAGTTCGGAATTTATTAAATGATCCCAAGGTATGTTTATTATTTCTTTTAACATTAGTAGATATGCATTGTTACGAAATTAAATTCTTTAGTACAGACATTTGGAACCTGTTAATAAACTATGGGATATATACAATACCGTAAAAAACGCGAAAAAAGACACTTTAAACCAAAATGAAGGTGAAAATTTGAGGAAACATCCCCTAATCGTTATCGAAGGCTTGGACGGTTCGGGTACAAAAACAAATTTATTTATTTTTTATTTAAAAGTATATTATAAACTTGTATTATAATTTTAGGAAAAACAACCATAACTTATAAATTAGCCGAAAAAATTAAGGCAGCGCTATATCGCACTCCACCCCTATGTACGGACGGTTTAAGGGGTTCGTTCGACGATTGCAAACCCCTTCGCAGGGTATTTTACGCAATGGGAAATTATATAGCAGCAGAAGAAATTAAAAAACTATTGGAAGAAAAACCTGTTGTTTTAGATAGGTATTTAACAAACGCGTAAATTTTGATTTAGTTTTGTATAGGTCTTATACATTAAAATAAAATTTGATTGTCATCATTTGTAGAGGTTAACACAATCAGTGGCGTACTAATAGGGTTTAATGAGACTTCATTGGAAGGCCCCATTTAAAAATAAATTACCGAAAAAGTTGTAATACTATA